TGCGGGTTGTACAGCCAGACGAGCAATCCTCCTATTGTGCTGCTCACTGGCACATTAGCTCTGAGTAATCCAGGGATTACTGCTCTAGGTCCTGCTTTTTAACTTTCTAACTCCCTAAACTCTGCTTTCAGATCTTATCCTTGTTCCTACCTATGTTGTTGAAACTAATGTGGACTAAAACCTCTGGCCATTCGCTCTGCTGTAGAGGATGATTTGCAGCATCTGTGACATCCTTGACTCTGGTATCAAGGAACCAATACACCATCCAGGAGTCGATGTTTACTGCACCAAAAACGGCAGTCTGATTTCCCCCCGCCCACACCACTGACTGTGGAATTCTCCATCACTATTGCTCTTCCACTACCAACCCCCCCACCCCCCCTAACCAAAAACAAAACTGCTGAGTCACCCATAATGCCACAGACCTGACTCTAGCTGGACTCCCTATGAGAAACCATTGCCCTCAACAGCATCCAGAATGGAATACAGATTAGCAAGCAAGATAGACTCTGGGGTCTCTGCAGTGGTTCTAATAGACTGCCTGGCAGCCTCCCACTCCCTCTCTGCCTGTACACACACAACCAGCCGTGTGACCACCTCTGTGAACACACTTTCCATGTATTCTCTGCCTTGCATGTATGCAGTGATTCCAGCCATCGGTTGAGTTCCAAATCCCAGAGTTCAGGCTCGTGCAGCTGCTGACATTTGCTGCAGATATGTTTGTCTGGGGCACACACTGCAACTGTGACTTCTCACATACGGCATGGTGTATATTCCAGTTGGCAGAGCTGCCCTGCCATACTGTGACCTTAAAAATAATTTGTTACAATCACAATAAGTGGAATAACTTACCAATTATGCACCGATCAGATTCTCTCTTTGCATCAATGTAAATGGCAATTACTGGAAGCTTAAAAAGGTAGGAAAAGAAAGGGATGCCCCCTTCTCCTCTTCCTCTCGCTCTCTCTCTCGCTCTCTCGCTCTCTCTGACTCACCAAACTCCCACTTCACATTCTGTACTGCTTTGGGTGCACACAGTGCAGTTGGTAGAATTTAAATTCGGTTAATGTGGAATCTGAAATATAAAGCTCATCTTGGTAATGGTGCTATGAAACTATCATTAATTGTTGTAAAAAAATCCATTTGATTCACTAGTGTCCTTTATGAAAGAAAGGCTGGCATCCTTATTTGGTCTGTTCTACACATGACTCTAGGTCCACACTGATGTAGTTGACACTTAACTATCCTCTAAAATTTGCCTAGCCTGCCATGTGGTTCAAGGGCAGTCAAGAATGGGCAACAAATGCAGCAATAGCCACCTCCCCACAATGACAATACCACCTACTTTCAACAATCTGTAGATGCTTATATTATGGCAAGTCTTTTCTTTCTTCACCTGATCAAAACTGCAGAATTCTTAACAGTGTTCACAGTTTAGCTTTAGTGCGCCGATTAAAGAACAGCATTTTCTCTAGCATCGTCAACTAAAGCCCCTCAGACCGGGGGTCCTTTTGAGCAAATCTTTTGCACCCATCCAATGATTGTAAAATCCTTATGCAAGATAGGACACAGTCATCAGGAATATTTTTGATCAGCTGTGGTAACTTTATGGTATGACCAGGGTTTCGGTCGAATTTGCAATAGTCAGTTGGGTGAATCCCCACAGAAACTATTGGTACATGTACTTTTACTTGTGATCTAATCAAACATATTTGTCAAGATTTATTCTCAATTCTTGCTCCTATGTGGAAAACCTGTAATTTCATAGAGAGAGAGAGACAGACAGACAGACACAGTCACATAGCATAGAAACAGGCCCTTCAGCGTGCCAAGTCTATGCCGACCAACAAACACCAAACTTTACTAGGTCTTAGACACATCTGCCATGGGGAAGAGATTCACATGATCTACTCTGTCTGTGACTCTCTTAATCTCAAACAGATCGTCTCCCTCCCCTTGGCCTCCTCTGCTCCAAGGATAACAAACCCAGCCCAAGCAGTCTCTCCTCATAACGGACACTTTACAACCCAGACAATATCCTGGTGAATCTCCTCCACACCTTCTCCAGGGCAATCATTTCCTTCTGATGGTGTGGCGACCAGAACTGCACACAGTACGAGTTCTCCTAGAACCCATCGAACCTTACTGAGTTAACCACCCCACTTCCACTTGTGCAGATTTGTAAATCAGAACACCTCAATCTGTCTGTTCCTATACTCTTAATTAAAAGGTTTGTTATTTAGTAACTATTTATCCATGTCATTTATCTTCTAAACATGTAAGACCTCCCACTTCTCTGCATTAAATTTCATCTGACATTTACTGACTAATGCTGGAGCTTATTATTGTAATATTAGTGTTTATTGTGACACTAGCACCGATTAGAATTATCTTAACATAATCCAAGATCCATGAGAATTGTTCCAGGGATGAGGAATTTCAGTTATGTGGATAGTTGGAGAAGTTTAGACTGTTTACCTTGGAGAAGGCAACACTGAGAGGAGATTTGACAGAGGTATTTAAAAATGATGAGGGCTATGGAGAGAACAGATCAGGGAAAAAAAAAGTTTCCCAGTGGTGGAAGGATCGAGAACTAGAGGGCACAGATTTAAGTTAATTGACAAATGAAGCAACAGAGACCAGAGGAGAAACCTTTTTTTTCACGCAGCAAGTGGTTAAGACCAGGAATGTGTTGCTTGAGTGATGGAGCAAGTTTCAAATTGGATAATAATCTGAATAAAGAATGTGTCGGGTTATGGAGAGAAGGCAGGGAAATTACACTAGGTGAACAGCTCAATTAGAGAGCCAGCATAGGCTGAATGGCTTTCAGTGCTGTAGCAGTTCTGTGTTATTATATGTTAATAATACAATACTAATAGTATTTAATGGTGACAATTATATGGCAATTAGTGTTTGTATTATTACCCTGTAGTTAATTTTAATTACACTGCCAATTAATTCTTCAGCTTTTAACAAACACAATCAACGATATAAGAAGAGTGCTAGTTCTCTGAATCTGTGGATAGTGTTACATTTTATTTTAAAAACTTGAGACTCAAGCATAGTACTGATACAATGCAAGGACAAACTTTGTTTTTTAAATCAAGATAACTAATTTACAGGACTATGGGGAGAAAGTTAAGCTTCAGGATTAAACTGGACAGTTCTTTAAAGGAGACAGTACAGATAAAACAGGCTGAACAGTCTTTGCTTTGTGCAGTAACATTCTGTGATTGAAGTCCTAGTGAACATCAGCCCGCATTTGTCAGCTGTATAAAAAATGTGATTCTAAAATTATCCTGAAACTGTTTGGCATTTAATTAAATAGCTTTGTATTACTGCGTGTCACTATATAGAGATCAGCATTGATTCTCTATATGAGATTAATTAACTGAAGACCATTATTCAACTTTGCAAGTGAACAAATCGCTAATGCATTCCAATGAATTTTTTTAAAAAAGCAATGGTATGGCAGTGCAGCAGTCTGCAAATGTAAACAGTGCCAAAAATTGTCATTTACTGTCAATCAATTAAAATGTCCCATCATTTTAACCCAGCTTCTGAGAGAGGTTAATTCACCTCTAGCTCCAGCAGTGGTAATTTTAACCACTTTGCTTCAAATTTTCCAAAGGTTTCATTTCAAAATAAACACTGTTCGAACAAAGAGGGGAATGTGCTCAGCAATTATCATTTAATTGCAGACAATTCCTTCAGAATGTTTAGACATCCCCACCTTTCCTCTGAAGCCAACATTAATAATAAATGGAAAGGGAAAGCGAATTCCTGAGAGACGAGATCAGGTACCAGCCAAACATTGCTTGATGTCGAGCAATAAATATTCACTTCGATCAACAAAAACTTGCATTGATATATTGCCTTAAACCGCCTCAAGATGCTTCACGGGAGAGTTACCAAACGAATTTCGATATTGAGCCACATACAGTGAAGAGATTCAGACGGTTGGGTGATCAAAATGAATAAGCTTGGTGAAAGAAAGGGGGATTAAAGGAGGGGAGGGGTGGAAGGTTTAGGTAGGGAATCGCAGGGCTCAGAGCTTGACAACAGTCACAACTGGAAATAAGGCTGTAAGTGCAGTGTTTCTGAGGCTCTCGCTGTCATGATGCAAAGGGGCAGCTGTGGAGAACGTGACTGCCACTGCCCGATGGTTTACAGGATGCAGGGCTGTCAATGAGTTCAGGCTGACTTTCCACCCAGTCACCCGCTGTCCAGGAGGATCCACCGCTCCTTCCCGGGTTGAGGGGGAGGGGGGGTAGTGGGGAGAGAGAGGCGCAGGATCCCCCGGTGAAAGCGGCTATCCGTATACAGGAGCGGATCCCCTGCGATCTGAAATCAATCGCTGGTTTCTGTCACTCAGAATTGTACGGAGTTTCGGCGTTACAGCAAGCAGGGCGCTGTGCCACACTGTGCTGGAGTCACTGGAGTCTACAAATGCAATCGCGTTGTGTCTCCCGAGCGTGTGTCTGATGCTATTTTTGCGTCCCACTTGTATTTATGTATGTGTGTGTGTGTGTCAGCGGGAGTGTGAACTCTACAATTGACTGGGGATCTGGCTCTGAGCATTGATCACGGTGTTTCACTCGCTGCTGTATTTTCTGCAGTGTGTTTGTGTGTGTATATATATATGTGTGTGTGTCAGTGTCGTCTCCATCCATGCTAGATCCCTCTCTCTCTAGTCCTCCCCATTCTGTGCCCCGCTCCAGTTCATTTCTGTCTCTGCATCTTCCCTGCCCACTCTCAAAGCTCACCTCACCCACACGGGCAGGGCGCTGTGTGCTTGCTGGAAGGGCAGCTTGTGCAAAAGGAAACGAGGGGAAATCAGACGCTGTGCGGGTACCCCAGTGATGCTCAGCACCGGGAGAGAGCCCCCGCCAGTGGCCGGGAGTTGATGCCCAGCAATGGGACACACATCCCCGGTAGCACCAGAGCCCGAGGTCCTGGTGCCCTCCAACCCCATCCCCTCTTCCGGAGCAGCGACTTACCGAGCAGCAGAAGGCCGAGGAAGAGGCCGGTCCGCCGGGGAGCCATCGGGAAACTGTCCGCTCGCCCCGTTCCCGGAGCCTCTCTCACTGTCCCTCCTCTCTCTCTCTCCCCTTCCCTCCGCCCCGCGGCCACTGTCAATCGCAGCCTGAAACCCGCCTCCCCCGCATGCGATTTTAACACGGCTGGGGCTCCGCCCACGCGTACTACCCCCTCCCCACAACCCAAACCATCAGCTTCGAGCCTCCGAGTGATCCCAGAGAGCTTGAACAACCCCCCCCCAATCTCACCTTGACCCCCACATTCAGACTTTAACCCACCCCTCCACTCTGACCCTAACCCCCCCATTTCAGACCTTAACTCCCCTCCAACTCTAACCCTGACCTCCCCATTCTGCCCTGAACCCCCAATCTGACCCTAACCCCATTCAGACCTTAACCCCCCCCACTATTCTGATCCTGATATCCCATTCTAACCCTGACCCTCCCCTTTCTGACACTGACCCTAACCCTAAACCCCACTCAGTTCTGAGCCAAGCAGCCAGAGGTTGTTTCTGCTTTGTTTTTGTCATCATCCCAGGTGAACATTCCCAAACTGTCAACATTAACTTCTCATGATTGAGATGACCCAATTTGTGATGCTGATGGAGGGTGGCTGTGGGCCAGGGCACCAGGAAGAACTCCCATCTGCTTCGTTGAAAAAAGATATTTAACATCCACCTGAACGGACAGATGGAGTCTCATCTGGAAGACAGTGCCTCTAACAGCACAGTACCCCATCACTACTGCACTGGAATATGAGCCTTGGTTCCGTTAATTCACTCCAACCCCAGAGTAGACTGATCCCTAAGATCTGGGACATGCGGTAAGCATAACAGGCCCATTGAGGACCAGGACAGCCAGGGGCCAACAAGGCTCAGGGCAGAGCAGTCCACCTAGGGGCCTGCGTCTAGGGTCTGTAGCTTCCATCCCTGTACCTGATAAAGCCATCAGACTGACCCTCAAATTAATCCTAAATCCAACAGATTGGCCCAAAAACCAATGGCTGACCCTTAAACTAGACTGGTCCCGTTGATTGACTGTAAAATCCACAGTGTGACCGCAAAGAGTTCCCCAAAACACATGTGCTGACTGGGTCCCATGGAGAGACCATGAGTTCCACACAGTGGTATTGAAATGTGCATTGAAACCCTAAGTGATTCCAAAATGCACAAAGTTGTCTTTTTCTGTGGTGCGTTTATAGTTTGTGAGCATCACTGGTGAGGTAGTGTTATCCTGAAATTAATAGGCCTAGCTCAAATCCTAAACAAGACCATCTTTAATCATTTCATGGTCTCCAGTACCACCCAGATCTCTCTCTTTGCTCTTCTAACTCCTGTTCCTGCTGCAAGGACTTCAAAAAAATCTCCAATATTCTTCACTTACTGCAGTAATTTTAAACTCCCTCTTGCCCTTTGATCATCTCAACATTAATGCAGCTACCAATGTACTCAACCACACTCTCTCATCCATCTGTGATGCCCTTTTATCATGGTAAAACCCTTAATACCACCTACACCTTATCCCCTTGGTCCGCCTCCACTTTCCATTTGTCTAAGGCCAAGGAATGCAGATTCAAACAGGATGGTACTCGACTCATTTGTCCACTCATCAGCACATCTGGACCACATCAAGTATGATTGTGTAAGAACAAAATACTGTGGACACTGGAAAACTGAAACAAACACAGAGAAACTCAACAGTATGCAGCAGCTGTGGAGAGAGAAACAGTTAATGATTCAAGTCCGATATGACTTCTTCAGAACTATCATGTTTCATTTTGCTCTGCCAAAACTGATCACTTTACTAGAACTAAAGATAGTCCTCAGCTTCTCCATTGCCAGATAGTTCATTAAAACCTCTCTCCTCTGACTTGATCTGCTTTCTCCTTCAATGAGCATGCAAATCTCCTGCATTTTTTTGTTGTTGTTCAGCTATATTTGCCACTTCCCTCCCTTCCCCTAATCCACCATGAGCGGGTTGCTCCGTTTTCCAGACTTCAACTTCCACCAGGTCATAGTTTCTCCCTCATCTCTCATCAGCCTTCTGTCAGCAATTCCTTGAGCTGCTCTGGCCTTGCAGATGTGTTGATAGTATCTCATTGTGCAGTGAGGCAGGCAGTCAAGTTAACTGCATACCATTAGCAAGGGTGCAGGTGAATTGGGTAGCAGGGGACCAGGAATACTGTTTCCTTGAGATCTGTATTGTATTGTGAATTAGATGGTGTTAATGAGTAATCTTTTAGTAGTTGATCCTCCAGAAAAGAGTGATCATAATAGGATAGTTTCATATTCCCTTTGAAAGTAAGTGGTTAGTGGTCTAATTAGGGAAATAGTACAAGGTGAATTGCTCATTCCGACACCAATATAGATATGAATGTCCTCTGTGCCATTATAATTCTGTAATTCTTTTACATCTGAAGTAAAGAGCTTTAACTCAAAGATATGATGACACAGAAGCAATGGCAATGAAATTTAAGGAATAATTCATCTCTTGAGGAATTAAAAACTCCACTGGAAAAGTGATTCTCCCACGGCTAACTAGAGAAGTTAAAGTTAGCATTTGATTAAGCCTGAGTAGTAAAGCCAAAAAAAATAATTTTTGGTTCTTCCTTTCCACTCTAGTAAATTAATCTCCAGACAGAGCATTCTGCACAATTTGAAGGCAATTGAAAAATCCCAAGTTCATCATATGTATTTTTAATCAACCTGTTTAGAGGCACTATGATCCACCACTGAGCGGATGCGAATTGCACCCAGGCCCCCTGGCTCAGAGGTAGGGACTTTACCACTGTGCCACAGCCTAACGATTAAGATGTTTTTTCTTTTATTTTCTCAACATTACTATTTTCTAATCAAGCTGCTCAGGAATGTTAGCTCACACCACTGGACATGGGACTTTAACCCAGGCCTCACAGTCCAGAAGTAGGGACACTGCCACTGTGCCAACTGATCCTTTATAAAGGTTTATGATATAAACTTCTTAATTCCACTGTCACACCTGACCATGTATTTTATGTAGTTGACAATCCCAGATCCCAAAACCAGGAAACCTTTTGAATTAGATTATCGATTCCAAACTGAACTGATAACATGCTTTAATCTTCAATCTCATAAACTAATCTTCAGAACTAAAAAACTTATTAAAAATAAGCAAAGGATGACCAAGAAATTGATAAAGATGGAGAAAATAGATTACGAGAATAAACTGGCAAGAAATATAAAGTGTGTAAAAGAGAGTAACCAAAATAAACTTGTCTTTAGAGGTAGAAACAGAAGAAATTGTAATGAGGATTAATGAAATTGCTGAAATGTTAAGCATTTTATGTCTGTCTTCTTAGTAGAAGAGACAAAACATATCAGAATGTTTGGGGAATCAGTGGTCTAATGAGAGTGAGCAACTTAAAGGAATTAATGTGACTGAAGAAAATGCACTGGAAAGTTTCACTAAAATCAGCAAATCTCCTTGTTCTGATGGGCCACAGTATTGGCTACAAGTGTTAATGGTTTAGATCATGAATGCATTCACTTTGAACTTCCTAATTCCCCCAATGCTAGAATAATCTTTGTGAATTGGAAGGTAATAAATGTAACCCTGCTGTTCAAAAAAGATGGGGACAAGAAAAACAGTGAATTGTAGACCATTTAGCTTGACATCAGTCACAAGGCATATCTTAGAATGTTTTTTTTCTTATTACTCATTCACAAGACATGGGTATCACTGGCAAGGGAAGTTTATTGTCCATCCCGCATTGTTCTTGAGAAGTTAGTGGTGACCTGCAGTTCTTGGGGTGGGGGTGGGGGCAACAAGTATACCCACAATGCTGTTAGGAAGGGAATTCTAGGACTTTGACCCACCAATATTGAAGGAACAGCGATACTGGTCCTTTTCAAAATGGGCATGTGGTTTGGAGGCGATCTTGCAAGTGGTACTCTTCCCATGCATCTATTGCCCTTGCATTTCGAGATGGCAAAGGTCATGGGTTTGGGAGCTGCTGTCAAAGGAGTCTTGTGCGTCTTGTAGATGGGTCACACTACTGCTACTGAGTGTCGGTGGTGGAGCGAGTGAATGTTGGAGGCGATTGGGATGTTGGTCAAGCAGGCTGCTTTGTCCTGGATGGTGTCAAGCTTCATGTGTTGTTGAAGCTGAAATGGAGAGTATTCCATCATATCCCTTTCTTTACCTTGTAGATAGTAGACAGGCTTTAGGTAGTCAGGAGGTGACTTAATAAGTGTGAATGATGTCAAGTGTCCTATTACCATGAGTCACAGTATTATTGGGCAGTATTAACGTGGTTTCATAAACGGGAAATAGTTTTTGACAAATTGATTCAAGTGTTTGGGAATTGTAGGCAGATAAGGAGGAAGTATAATTGAATTTTTCAGAAGGTGACTGATGAGGTGCCACACATCACATAGCTCCAGATAACTGCTTGAAGGTTTGGGTAGTACATCAGCATGGACTGAGGATTAGTTATATAAAAGTAAACAGAGAGGAATGAATGGATCATTTTCAAAATAGCAGCATATAATCAGTGGAGTTCTGCCAGGGTCAATGTTTGGGCCTCAGCTATTTATATCAATGGTGAGGGACCAGGTGTAATTTGTTCAAGTTTACCGACAATGTAATGTTAGGTCATAAAGTAAGAAATGTAATGCAGCCGGAATGAAATATAGATAAGATAGGTGATTGGGCAAAAAGGTAGAAAATGACATATTATATAGAAAAAAGTTAAATGTTTTATGGTTACAAAAAGCAACTCATGACCACTCTATGAAAAGCAATTAGAGGTGGGCAATAAATGCTGGCCTGTAAATTCACATCCTGTGAGTTAATTTTTTTTTTAAAAACATTTTGTTCGGCAGGATGGAAAAGCAAGTTTCTTTTTCAAAGTAAGGGATTAGGCAAGATTGAGGTTCAGTGGAATCTTTGAACGCGAACCGTGTACTTGTTAAGTCACACGCAATGAGCAGTTTTATATTCGGATTTATTGTCACGTGTGAACAAAAATAAAGCAACAAGTGTTTTTTCACGTGTTATACGCGAAGTGTCACAATTCTCCGGCGCCATCTTGAATATAATAC